TCTGAACCTTGTGATTACTGACATTGTCTGTTCTCTGTCATCCCTGCCAGACAACAATGAACACAGTTTATTTTCCACTCCAGCCTCATTCCTCTCACTACTGTCGAGATATCGCATGGATAGCGTCCTCTTCTAGCAGAAATAAATGGGGCCAAGGCTGCAGAATAATTCCTACACACATGAGCAGAATTGGGCTAGGTGATGCCAACCCTTACTTTTGACTGTTACAATCCATTAACATTTACATTGTCTAACCTTAGGGACCTTCTTCCAATTACAAGTTTAGTACTAGTTTTATAGTTTGTGACTTACAAAGTTTTAACCATGTGGATGTTACTTTCTGACTCTTTCTAGTACATTTTCATAGATCATTACTGCACTTTGTAGTGAAACAATGTTAAGAACATATTCAGTATGACTGTTTGCTTACTTAAAATATTTCAATCTACATGGCAGCAAATATTCTATCACAACCAAATAAATCATTGATTAAATGAAGTTTACATTTCTTTTGATATTTAATCTAGTGTCTATGAATATCATTTATTATTGATAATTTCAACCACTCATGAATATTCTAGTGGAATCAATAAAAATGCCTTAGACTAGTTTTAGCGAAAAACAACGGGTAATACTATGCTTTCTCTCAAACATAGCATACGTTTCTGTGTTGTTGTTATCCTTCCATGAAAGTTCACTACGTGACAAATATATATCAATGTTGAAAATGAAAAATCCCTCTTACTAGCATTAAGGGAAATAGTAAATGTACTGTATTTTCAAATAATACCTTTCATATAATCATGTCAGTTAGTCTCATACCACAATGTCTTGAAATCTCAGTTGTTTTCTTTGTGTAATTCATCCATTCATGTTATTCAACACTAATTAATGGTTAAATGTTATGTCCATATATGCTTGTATGACCACACACCTATATCTATTTATGTATATTGCTATATATGTATGTCATCCTTACACATTGACACATACTCTAGTAGTTTATGCAAGTTGCCTCTGGCTCCAACATGAGTTGTTTTGGTAGCCTTCCAATGCAATGTTTCAGCAGCTCTAACCATGTGATGTGCTGCCATCTAGGAGTCATCAAACTCAACTTGTTTTCCTTTTCAGGTATCACAAAATATATAGTCACTGGTAGAATTCAATCGAACTAAGAGTTTTCAGCTAACATTCTTGCCAGCCATGATTAATACTTTAGCTGTTATTTCTATATAGCAACTTACAGTCAGAAAGAAAAAAAAACTCCTTCACTGCATGTAGAATCACCATACTTTCTCCATGTGTACAAGAAATAATGTAGCTAGAACCAAGCAACATGCTCTATAGAGTTCTCCCCATCCAGCTAGATCTGTAGAGTGATTTTATCAACCCATCAAATAATGTTTCACATCAGAAAATTTCATTTAGTGGTTCGAAATCAAGGATCATAATACCCTCTCAGCTGTTGATTTTTTATCCATATGACCATCCTGGCTTATGAAGTGAATCAAGTAGCAATCACAAAAAGTAGTGCTTACATTATACAGTGAAATATCACCTAATAGCTCAAAAAGCAATAGTTGCAACACCCTTTCAACTAAGTTTTCAGATTCCTAGATATCATTCTCAGTTGTGCAATCTGTTGATTTGCCAGGCATTTTGTTTACTAGCTCCAGATTTCTTAGCTTGTTACATATTAAATTTCACCCATATCAAATGGGAGGCCGGTAGCAGTACCCCCACTCATTATAGGTGCTGTTTCACACCTTTATTTTCAACATCTTCTCATTTGGTTTTGCTGTGAACAACAAAATAAGAACTTTCAGCTCTTTTCTCTTGGTCAAGTTAGATAGCTTCACTTTAGATAGCATCCTCATCCTATCCTGAATCAACAGACTCAAATTCAAAGACCTGGTCAAGTCAGTGTACAAGAGGCTTGTCTGTGATGGACGGGGCTTATAAGTATACTCCATGCACTTTAATGCACCTTGCATCCTTTGTAACTCGTATGTAAATGAACAAACCTACTTGAGTATGAGATACAGAACTGTCCAGCCAGATCTCATCTGCTTTTGTTCTCCTAAAAATTATCATAGTTACACTCAATCTCCGATGTGGTTTACCTATTCATTTACCATCTTGTCACAACACTTATTCTGTAGTAGGACAGCTTTGTCTAATGTTTAATGAAACAAATCGTGTATATCGACCAATGCAGTCCTTAGCTACTCCAAATGTTCCTGTGGATGCTGAAGGACATCTGATAAGGTTGGAGATCCATACACCAAGCCATGAAAATGAGCATGTTTTGCAAACAGACTATATATCTCTGTTCAGTTGCTCTATACACCATCACAATGCTTAGATTAGTGCTCATCCCACTCAATTCAGCCAGGATTAACAAACTCTGAGTTCATTTCATGTGTGACTTCAGTAATCCCTGTGACTTTAGCCAACTAAACTTTGTTCATATTAAACCATCGAACTCAACTTGTATATCTGAAAGTACTGTTATTCACTCCACTTGTACAGTCCACTGTTCCTGGGCTTGATCTATTTGATGGTAGATAACTCTCCTGTAGAACATCAGTTTACCCTTGCACAGGCAAACTGATTGAAACATTCTGAAGTACGCTATTCCAAGAAGGTCAATGCCAGTTCTGAGAACAGAGATGACTACCTTCATTCTGTGAAGGACTTTTCCTAGAAACAGCCAGAGATATACCTTCACTCTTATATCTAGTCTATTGCCATTTGCTAAACTAAAGTTCATATCCACTGGACAAATTAGTAGTCTCACTTGGAGGACTTGAAATATTGCAATATCTATCAGTGTTCTGGCTGCTCATGAGCTGACCAGGAATTTGATATCTTGCCTTTGTCGCCTCACAGGCACATACCAAGCTAAACCCAGCCTTCAGAGAGATGGACCGACCCATCAAACCTTGGAATGCAAGGTTTCATCCATACTTCCACAACTTGGGCTCTGTTGGTTTTCCAAAGCTGTAGTGACAGCTTATGCGTTTGCAGTTGGCTCTTCTGGACCTGCTGAACTTTTAGGTGCAATTGATAGCTTAGCTGCCTTTGCTGCTCTGCAAAGTGTGTGCAGTTCACTCACCTGTATGCCAAAATACCACAAGTGAAGCAGACACTTTGCTTCTCTCATCTCAAACAATGTACAGGTAGTGACATCATTGGTGTAGGCTGTGGCTTGTAACCCATGGGAGAATCAGGACAGCCCTAACCATTCACTGTACTGGCTTGGTTTACCCCAGGATGTGTAGGTAGTGGATGGTTAATCCTCAGCATGGCTAGAGCTTGGTGTGGGAATGATACCTCAGCAGGATGATCTCTCCAAGGTGTAGGCACAGCAGCAACTGTTGCTGCAGGCCTCTTCCTCTCCAATAACAAATCATAGTTATCACTTCATACCTGGTCGTAATGCAACTTACCTCTATTAAAGTGAGAGTGTCTCTCATTCCCAAGAGTTGCCTCATTGTTTCCTTGGGAAATTCATGTCTTCATGATCCATTAAACTTATCATAGGTCATGTAGACAACACAGGTCACCCAGATGGATCACTGTGTCTCAGTCTACTTGTTGCACTTCATCCAAATGTTCAATGGGATCAAGGGGTGGATAATCTAAGCTCAGAATCGGATGTTGGATTACCTATTCTGTGTCTAACTATTCCAAGCATTTACCTCCCTGAATCACTTCAGAAAACAGCCTAGATATTCCTTCAATGCAGTGTTGAACATCAAGAGTAACTTCTGCTCAGAGGGGTGTGGGTCAGAGCCTCTCATTATGAGTTTTAAGCCAATGCCTGGCTTATATGCTGCCAATGTAGTAGTTATGGGATAGTAGGTGTATTCAGGAACGTTAATGTTGGGATGAATATCCCCCCTTGGTCCAGGGTGATAGGGTGATATGTTGCTCTTGGCAACTCGTTCTGGAGCTCTGTATGACTTCGGATTTCCTTGTAATCCTCAGTATCCCTACCAGAATATTTACTGGCTAGGAGAGGATCTTGATTATTCTGTGGTTTATGGTATTTTCCTTTTCGTGTTTAGTGTATCAGCTGACAGGGAAACAAGTGTGACTGGAAAAGTTCTTTCACCAGTGACATGTCAAGTTCTTCTCGAATGGTTTTGTATGGTCCTGACCAAAGGATTCTCTGGGTGGTGACAACTTGGGAGTCTCTCAGAGGGTCACTTTATACGGTCTCAGACCCACAAGACCCTCAGACCCTTGCAGCAAAATCAATTTTTCATTCTTGGTAGAGCAGATGTCAACTGATCTTCCTACGTCTGCCATTACAGATATATCAATGTCAGGAACCTCTGAAAGTCGTATGTACAGGAGTGAACTTCTCCTAGGCTCAACGCATAGCATATTTACAATTACATGTTTAGCCACCATATTTGCATATTTCTATGTGATCTATGAAAAGAAGATTTATAAATCTTACTAAACCTATAAATGGTGATATAATTTTATAGCGGCAAAACAAACATACATATATATTTTTAAATATTAATGTAGCCTCACAATGCTACATAATATACGTCTATTAAACCACAAAAAAAAAGTTTTCATTCCAAAATACAATACCAGCAACTTTTACTGTAGGCAGGTCCTATTTTTTATAATTACAGTGTTTCGACCCACAGTATTTTATAGAAGCATGTATCAGTTTGTTTCTGTGCATTATCCACTCTTTAACGTTAGGCAAGCCCATATGAAAGGGTGACTCTGATGCTTGTATAAGCTTAGAATCGAGGCTATTACACCTTTGCATATTTATGTAATGAGAATAGCAAAGCTCACATTTCTTCATTTTACTGTTATCAATTATACTATGATAGAAATATTTAACCCTTTAAAACCGTGAGAAACCCATTTTAAATTTTAAAAATAGCTGAAAATTACGCCTATTATCACAATTAAAAAATCCATCGTTTATTTTTTTCGTCAGTGAAATATTAACAGATAGCGCTATGAAGAATATGCCTCAAAGACACGTGTCGAAGGTGTATCTTTTTATACCTGATATCGTAGTTTTGGCCTTAATTTTATTCAAAGCTTTTGTTTTAGTATCTGGTAAGCGTTTTTTTTCTTAATTTAGTTGTACGCACTTTCGAAAAAGCAGTGCTTTGTTTTAATCCAAATATAGGATTTGGATTACTGATGTTGCGACCGGGAAATGATACTCGTACGGTTGTACTGACTGGTACTAGTACAGCGTTACTATAGGTGTACTATTAGTACTAATACTAGTAGTAACACTAAAAACTGTATATTCTAGAAGACTTGTGTATCATATTATGATATCGTTCAAATCAATATATTGTACTGCGATTTGTGGTAGTACCACTACACTAGTTTTAATTCTATTACTATTGGTACTACTAGTAGTTAGAACCTCTACTACTACTAGTACTAATTTTATAACCAAGGATCACGGCAATGAGTAACTAGGTTTAAGTTAATACAACTTTGCGAATGCTGAAGCTACACTAATTACATTATTAATAAAGTTGATATTTTTCAGTGTTATGAATGATATTATTAAAATTGAAACTGCAGGCTTAAAAACATTTACTTTAGGATGAATATTATTAACTTGGATCTCTCATCTTTTTTTTATAAAATACATATAAGATTAAGACTGTACTTCAAGGTCAAGTTATTGATAATTTGATCTAAATTGGAGTGTCCTACCATGGTTATTTTTAAATATTTCACTGGCCTTCACCCTTCCAATAATATAGATATTTGCAAAAGTACAGAAGAAGGTAGTATGAAATTCATGCTAAGTAAATTGAAGAATTAGTATCTTGTTTAATTTCATCAATCATCTTTTTTGACACTGGGCATGAAAACCTTGAAACAATGAAAGATGAATTTATAGACAAGCATTCCATGCTTGTTAGGAAAAAAAATTACAATTTTCCACCCCATACCCTGTAAGTGTAATATAAGACTTGCATGTAAATCTTTTTAAATATATGCTTCACCTGAAAACAAAAAAATATTAAATGTTTTTATGTATATTTCTTCTAGGGTGTAACTTAAAATAGCTACATGTGACAGATTTTTGGAAAAAATCTTCATGAAAAACTAAAATTTTGGTTTCATAAAGTGAAGTATTCGGTAAAGAAAGTTTATAGATAAGTTCTGTTATATTGCTTTGAGAAGAAATTGGAAATGATTTTCTTTCTCCAGAAACATGAATTGAAATTCATCATTTATATTTTCAAGGTCTTCAACTTGTTGTCCTAGTGTGAAAGCAGTCACTCAGCATGAATATAAAATTATAAGACACACTGCAAATATTGTGCCCATAGAATTTTATCAAAGGTAAAAAAATTGAACTGTGAAAAAAGACTTAACTAAGCAGTTGCACTTTACAATGAACAACAAAGTTAAAACTATGAAGCCTTAACTTGAACATTAGGATCAATATTGTGCAAAAGACATTAAAACAACAGGGACTTATAGACAAAAAAGGGGACTTTTGAAGCATCATAAGGCAAGACTTTTTTTTTGGGGGGGGGGGCAAGACTGTGGGTTGCCTCTGGTATACATAGGATAGATAGCCATGAGAAACAAACAAATCCTCTTTTATTCCTATTCAAGCAGTCTTAAAAACACTTAAAATCTAAAACTAAAGAGTGCATTCTTGTGTACTAGCACTTAATAGTATATCACAATTATTTTTCTACTGCAAAGACATAAAAGGCCTGGTGTGCCATTTGTTTTGAAGCATAAGAGTAGAAAGACGGGGGTTTGAGTACATCCAGCCACCCCCTGTGCACATCACTGAGTTCAATATGTATCTACCTCATAATATGATGAATTGCTTCCAGTTGACTGTTGAATAATTTTCTTGTACTGTACAAGAATATATATGAAGTTTTTCATGGTTTTCTGAAAAAACCTTTATATTAAAGTTTATAAAGTCTCGGGAGAGGTTTTTCCACTGTATTTCAATAAGTATCTATGTTTAATGACATTTTTAAATCAAATTTTATTTCCATAAATTTATTATTTTATTTACATATATCTTAAAACTTGTGTGAATTTTGTCAACTTATGGTAAGGTTGTGGCAATTAAATAGCAATCATTGTCATGGGTAGTAGCCCATACAATCACTTATGTCTGATTATTAATATTCCAATCTTTTATTACTGATAATTATTTTATATCCTGTGCTTCAGCTAATAATCTGTTGCCATCTTCAAGGAAGATGATGGTAGAGGTTAGCATTAAGTATTTTGTGAATATTTTGTAGAACTTGCAAACATATTGTGTTTTTGCCACTATTTAAAATTTGTTTTTATTTATTTATTTAACCAGTAAGTTTTACTTAACCTAAAATAATTAAAGGCTATAATTTATATTTTTATCTCCTAGTCCTAACATTCTCACCATTAAGTAATAAAAAATAAAGATGATACATCAACATTATCAGTTCCCTTAACAATCTTAAACACCTCAGTCATAACCTCTATAACTTTTCTTTTTTCAAGAAAAAACAATTTAAGAGATCTTAACTTGCCATGATATGACAAGCTTTTCATCAAAGGTATCAATCTGGTAGACCTCTAAACTTTCTCTAACAATTCTATGCCCTTCATAAAGTAAGGAGCCCAAGATTGAGCACAATACTTCAAATATAGCCTAACCAGTGATCCATACAATGGAATTATAATATCATTAGACTGGTATTCAAAATTTCTGAAGGTACAACCTAAAATCCTATTTGACCTACCATTAGCAACAACACACTAGTTGAATGGTTTGAGAGACTGATCAACCAGAACACCCAGATCCTTTTCTTCCATAACACTGTTAAAGTTATTCCCATAAAAATTATGCTTATAATTCAAATTTTGATAATTTATATGTATTACTATTGTATTATTATAATCAAAAGCCATCTGCCATTTACTTGCCCAACTCGCCAAATGAACTAAATCCTTTTGTAAATCAGAATCCTCCTCCTCCTCACAGGTAGCAACATCCAGTGTCTTAATATCATAACGTTGATGTAAAACAAAAAGAGCAAAGCTCCTAACACTGAGTTGTGAGATACTCCACTTGTAACATTAATCCAGTTTGATTCAACTCCATTTATAACAACCTTCTCCTTTCTATCCAACAAGCCAACTTAAAATCTTATTAACAAGCCTTTTAAATGGCATCTTGTCAAATGCTTTCTGATAATCCAAATACACCAAATCTACACCCTTATCCTCTTCTACCTAAGCAGATAACCTCTTTAAAGAATATTATACTTGCTAGTCCTCTCAATAAATAAAATTCAACTAACACTAAATAAGAATCTTATGAGTCATAACCTGGATACAAGTTTTTAAGTATGTCACCAAATATTATTTTTGAATAGTTTTATTCTATTTTATTACTTTTTTTTTCTTGCAGCTATTGTACATCATATATACATTACAGATATTTTTATACATGTTAATACATCTACTCTGCAGAATTTTTTTTTATCATCTCAATTGTACAGTTTTCAAAATAAAATTTTTAAGAGGTGTTAAATTTTCCAGAGTATAACTTAATTACAAGTAATTTTGTACCCTAAAAATTTGGAGTAGTTTAACGTAATTCTCATAAAATTACTTGGCAGGTAGCATTTTGAGAAATTATATAAAAGTTAATATTTTGTCATAACATAATGAACAATGAGGGATTATATGGTCCGTCAAGGCTGCTGTTGTAATCGTTTCCATCATTGTTCAGATTCTTTTTGATTATTGGGCAAAAGTAATGCAAAGTTCAGTCTATTTACTGAAATGGAAATGTTTTATTTTTTAAACTAAAAGTTTTATAGCTTACATGGTTTCAAGAATTAACTATGACCAATCGTTAGGCTTAACTCACAAATGAAGCTTAACAGTTGTTCACTTGTTAAATTCCCTCGTATCTAATAAACAAATTTAAAGAGAATTTACAGCACTGAACTTACTGAGACACTAATCACCTGACTAATTCATTAACTGAATAAATAATCAACTCACTGACTAATGTTTTTCTAGTAAAGTATTTTTCCCCCAAGTCTCTAGGAAATCCCACACATGATTTGCACATAATATCAAATTTAGAAACTGAGGAAATTTCTAGGAGTCACACAACATCATTAAATCATGCCAAAACTTTGTAGCAAACAATACAAAATGCCTAAATTAAAATATTAAAAACATAACTCACAACACTGTCTATGCACATCCATTCTTGAGAAAAGCAAACATTGAACCTCCACCCCATTTTTTTTTTTTCAGGAAATCATCAGTTTCCACAACTACCAATGTCAACTCATTCCATAAGTCAGTCATGTTTTGAAAAATTAAACTTAACTGAAGCTTAGCCTTCCAAATCTTAAACTTGTGTCCTCTCACCCTGTTGTCTTCAGTTATGATGAGTATTGTATTATGAATGTTTCCATCAGTATAAAGATTCTAAAACTCTGTTCTTTGATTACTTTTAGGGATAGAAATTTCAAAAAATGTGAAGCAAGATATGTTTTTTGAAATTGTAGAGCCCGAAAGCTTACGGTATACTTTCAAAGTTAGGCCTGCTCAGGATTTTGGAGTCCATTTTGTAAGTTTTGAAATTTATGTTGGCTTGAAAAATACTTTTTCTTCACATATGTTTATATTTGAAAGCCTGTTAATTTTGAAATATACTGGAAAATAATACTGCTTATTCTGATTAAATTGTACTCCTAAACTTGAAGCAACAAAGAAATACCTTAATTTTCGATAAGGAACTGCATATTTCTGGACTTTCAACTGCTTGTATCTTTTATTTTTTGAACAAGCCTTTAAAAGATAAAGCCGAATTATAAGAATATATATAAAACAAGTTAAAAATTGATGACATGTTTAAACATTCAGCAGTGTCTAAGTTAATCACTTGAAGGCTTAGGTCATCACTTAACAAATTAATTTTCATTTAATTTTGTGTTTTTATAAGCAGTATATTTTAAAGTAGTGCAACTGTATTTGAATGATAGTTTTCAAAAGATTATATAAAGGTTAACTTCTCCGTTATGTTAGTAATATATAGTATAATTTATAGTTCACAAACTCTTGACAAAAACACATTCAGTGATCATTGGTAACTTATAATTTCAAATTTTTAGTCAATGTATCACTTAAGGTGTATACATAAATGCCATAATAACAAAGTTTAAGACCATACACTGCTGTAAAAATTAGTGAACAACATAATAAATGTAAATCCTACAGTACTTTTGTAACTGAGTACCTGCAATTGGAATCATATATTATTTCTAGATTATTGTACTTTAAGTAAGTGTACGAAAGTTAACTTCTGATACGATACATTACCACTTCTCACATGAATAGCTATTCTCGTTCATTGCTGCCCTCTACATGCAAAAAATGTTTTACGCATGTCACAAGCCTTCTCTCTCCCCTCCATTGGAATTGACTAATTCTAATGCAAATCATCATGTGACAACCCTCCACCAATAAGAGTGCATCATACTCTCATGATGCATGCGACTCCCTCTTTTCAATTCTACCAAACTATCACTTCTTGTTTGGCAGTACTCATGTTCAGATGTTTTCCTTTTGGTGCTTTTCGTACAGTCGTGATTTTATTAGTTTAATTTCCAAAGTGAAATTTCTTTTTTTTTTTCCTTGACATTGATGAAACCTATTAATTTAACTTAATTTCACAGTCTTTATTTTTTCCTCACACTCTCATATTTTGTATCAAACACTATAGGTCATGTTTTGGTTTGTTTCTCCATCTGGCCAGAAATAATCTAGTAATGATCCATTCCAACTTTTCTTCATTGGTAGCTTATCTCTATCACCAGGGCAGTACCCATTCTCTATTTCTCTATACGTTGGAGCTTCTTTTTTGGGCCCACATGCTCGATATTCATATCATTGTTTCATGTTCCAGGTGCTTTCACTCTTGTTGTGGATTGGATTCCTGTCCAGACTACATTTAAATGATGGAGTGGTCTCTCAATCCTTTTGTTTTCCAGTGGCTTTGACTTCAATGGGGTACTCCTCATATTGAAGCTTTTGCTACTCCCTTAACCACTAATTGCCCTGGTTTTGGTCTCCGGTTCCTTGTCTTCTTGCTCTGTCTATCTATGTTTTCAGCCAGGATTGGACCTACGCATTGGTTTATCGTCTGATTCTCCTTCTTCTCTGGATTATTTTGTTCAACCTTGACACTCTGTGTTCAGTGCTTCTGATAGCTCTTTCCTGGTTGTCTCAGCTGTGGTTTCTGCAGCTTCTCCAGCTCCAACTTCTTCCTCTGTTACCTTTTCCTCTCTCTCTCTCTCCCTTCTTTACCACCCTAAGTCATTAGTGTTTCATCCAGACCTTCCTGTCCTCCATCTTCACTCCTGTTTTTTCTGTGGTCATTGGCGAGGTGATCCAGCTTCTATCAACAGTTATCCTCTTTTCTGGCTTGTTTCATTTGCCCTTCCTACCCAAAAGTTTCACAACGCAAATGGAATTTTTCCGTCATTGGTTTCTGGGTCCAGGGTTTTTTCCCCTGATCAACTCATTTTTCTTGGTCATGCAGATTTCCTCTCTTGACTTTTGAATCAGGGGTCTTCTGTCTCCTCAATTTCAGATTTTTGGCTGGTTCTGTCCTACACCTTTTGTTTTTTCTGATCCCACATGTATTTATGTCTCCTACACTTTACCTGTGGATGTGTTCCTTCCAGATTTTTCATCCACCATGGCAGGCTGCCCTTCTAGATGGGGATATTAATGTGGTCCTGTACTGCCTCACTTTTCCTACATTCGAACCACTCTACCAGTGCTCCTTGTTTCACCTTCTCTTATACTTTCCTTCCTTCTCCTATTTGCCTGTGGATGTCAGTGGTCTGTTTATTTGCCATTTATGTTTCATTTACTCTTTATCCTTCTATATATCTTCTTCTTTTTCCGGATTGTTTTTCCTCTCTAACACTTCAGCGACTTGTGAGGATAAGTCATCCATTTAGCTTTCACACTTTCATCCTTGTCCTGATCCGGACAGATTTCTATGTCCTGTATGTGCTCTTCCCTGTTATATTTCCTGCATGGCTTTCTTCTGTGGTGTCCATTCCCACCTCTTTCTACCTTGGCAACCATCCTATGTTTGTGTTCTTTCTCCTTCCTCTGTTGGATTTGGCTATTCATTCAATTTGCTTCTTCCTCTTTATTGTCTTCCTCCGATACTTTGTTCCAAGTGTCTACTCACATGATTCAACACCTTACCTTTTCATTGGCATTTCATCTTCGTCATCCTTTGGAGGTACTTCAATCTGGCTTGTGGACTTCACATGATAAATATGTCTCTTAATACTTGCTTTGGATTGTGGTTTTCTTCCTCTTTGGGTTATCGTCTTCCACCTGTAGCCATTCTAGAATATAGGAATTCAGTAAGACTTTGACTGGATATGTTATTTTTTCCTTTTCAGGTGCCCTTTTCCCTTTTATTAATGCTCATTGTTTGGACCCCACTCTGTGGCGAGTGGTGCCTGACCAGGTATTTTTAAACTATTCAAATCTGCACTGTGAAGCCATGTCAACTTGAATATTATAATTCCATGCTGCAGAGATGGGGTGTTCCATAAAATCGCTTGTAGCTTTATCCTTGCAATAGAATTGCTTCATAAGTTTGTTCATCCTTGTCAAAAGTTTACTTAGGCCTATTCAATTGCTTTAGAATTTCAATTAACAAGCCAAACTACCTTTCTATTGCACTAGTATTCTGTGTATAATTCACTTACAATTATAGTGTGAGTTACCACAATCGTATACTGCTCTTCCAGTAATCATCTGGTCTTTGTACTTTAGATATCATCTGTTCCTTTTGTCAAAGTGCACTCAGGCAGGTTCAGTTACTTTAGAACTCACTTTGAAGGATGCTTCTTTCTTCCCTGTGCACTGGTCCTTCCACCTATTCTATGTGGGATTCTAGCTATTTATGTGAGAAGAGGTAATGTACCATCTTGGAAGTTATAATTTTCGTACACTGAAAATGTATTTCTGATGATAAACTCAATAATCAGTGAACAGCACTATAAACTATACTCTTATCTCTTTTGAAACTGTTAGTTTTCCTCTTAACTTATTAATTGTTAGGCCTATATTAACCATTAGGCCTTTCACTCCTGCAGCATTTAACTTTCCTTGGCCGAACTTCTACTTCCCGTGACTTTACTTTCTTGTCTGCTCTGTCTGTCTGTTTGTTTCCACTCATCTCACACTATTTATATGTTTATCACTTAATTGTCTGCCCACCTTTGAGAAATCTCTATATACTCGATGTCAGTGTGTATTGCATGCTACAATCGATAAGTCTCAACATCAATGAATTATAAACACAACTTCCAACAATCGTCTGCTTTTAACTCTCTTATTATAAAAAACACACTAAACAATTATAAAATATTAACTCACAAAATAATTAATTAATAATACCTACGCTTTTATATCATGACTGGATGGGAGATAGAAGGCTTGTGGCATGAGTAAAAGTTTTTGGCATATAGAGGGCAGCACTGAACAAGAATATCTATTTCTTTGAGAAGAAGCAAGTACCTATCCGATATACATTTTCAGTGTAGGAAAATTATAACTTTATTGTTTGTTATAAGAAAATGTAAGCTAATTCTTACAGATTTTTTGATAAATTGTAGGTATTTCTACTTTCAATAAAGGGTTTGAAAATATAACTAATTTATTTCATTTTATTTTGCAGAATAAAACACTTCAAAATGTCGGTTTAGTTATCTCAGAACCTCATCATGGTTGTAGTGCACCAATCAATAAATTAGAACTCAAAAGTAATGTTATTCTTGTGGAAAGAGGGTGAGTATGTAAACTGTCACATTGTGAAAAATATTTAGATCTTTCAATAGTACCTGAAATTACATATATATTTCTAACATAATTCTAAAAAATATAATTCAGATACAATGTTATACCTCTACTAAATCCTTAAACTATGTGTATTGTCAATCCCAAAAGTTAGACATATTATACACCCTAATTACTTCATCAGATATTGTCTGCCATTTGCATTTTGTAATCCTGTGGAAATCATTCTATGTGAGAATATTAGATGTGTAATCACTTGTCTCATGCCCTCTAGTGATAGAATCTCTAGGATTCCACCCTGTTTATATCAGTCTGTTTGTTTTCTTAAATGGGGATTTTTAGTCTGAAGAAGGATCCTGTGCTTTGAGTTGGACCACTACAGCAGTGGGATGGATCTGTTGTGAGAATTTCTCTCCTTGGACATGGTCAGGAAACTGATTGCTTTTATTTGAAATGAGCTGGAACTCAAACAAATAGTTTCATCTTATTTTTATTTTAGGACAACTTCCTGTGGTGTTTCTTTGCCTTCTTTTTCTTCCTGTACCTGATTTTCATCTTCTCTGTCAAAGATTTTGTTTTTCTTTCTTGTTTGCTTCTTCATTGGCATCAGATACTTTAGACAAATTCTATCCATCAATGATTTTATGTTTCAGTTCAAGGTGAAGTTCTTAATCCACAATTTTCATTTCTGTCTCTACTATTTTTTTTTTCTCTCTTCTTTCTTTCCTGGGATTTTGTTACTGTTACAGTTACAGCTTGTTACTGAAGCCATGTATAGGCTTTCTTCTCCTATATCTGAGGATAGATTATCCTTGTTTTTTGAATGCCTTTAAAGGGCATTATTTTCAAGCATTATCTTGGTCTTTGGAAGTTATGCCTGGCTTCATTTGTGGTGATATTCCTGATTTGGTGAAAACCAGAGATAGTCATGCACATCATCGTTCTTTGCATCTCTTATGTTCCTCTTGTTTTACCGAAGCTCCTTGAGCTCCTTTGGTAGGGGGACTAGACTCCACTCCTCATTCATCTGTCACTGTGTCTTCTCATTTTTGGATCTCACAATTAAGCCCTCCAGGCTGTCATTCAGACCTCCCACCTTCTATTGAGCAGAATTTTCAAGGACATATAGTTGCTTTACAAGAGGACTATGTGATTCCCAATTCCTGGAGCCAGTGTGGACAAGGTGGCTAGATTTATCAACTGTAAGAGGAGGATAATATGTAGTCTGTGAATGTTAAAGCTTTTTGGAAAACATTTACACCATTTTTTAGGATTTCCCACTACTTACTGACTGGATCATCTTGAACTAAAGAAGTGCAGTCAGTTTTATTGAAGAGGTACTTATGGTGTTGGTTAACCTGAATTTAGTATTTTATTCTTGTCTTTAGGATTTCCAAGTGTATAGGGAATTGGTTTCTGGTGCTGGATCTCACTTCTCTAACCTGTTATTCAAATACATTTTTTCACAGGTTTCATTTTTAACTGCAAATCACAAATGATTGAATCAAAATACGTCTGTTCAAAGCTTTTTTGTTTTAAACTTCTGAAACCACATTTTCATTTATTCACAGATGCCTTTCACAAGCTTTGGGTATTTATTTTCTGCAAAATCATAGTGGGTGATCTCCAGCAATGGTGGGGTATCACATATATGTTCTGATGATGTGGGAAGTTTAAAACCCTTGCACAACCTTTCTGAATATTATATGAGACTTTGTGGTTTTGGTACATGTAGCATGCTGGCGAGTATGATGAACCTGGATGTGGAATCCATATAACATTTTTTTGCTGATTCTACTTCACAAGAGCATCCTTTTCACAAACCCAGTTGATGACAACCCAGCATGCTTGAGGCTTTTGCATAAATTGATAAAATTCAAAATGGCCAACAAATGCCACGAATTGGCAGATTGTGGATTGACATTTTAATCATAAGTCAAATGTTCCTTTTTGTTTTTGGCTTTAATGTGTCTTTTGCAACCTATAGAATGAAACAATATGTATTTTCTACCTAAATTGTTATTTCCTAATTTCCATAAATTCAACATAACAGTGAGTACTGCTTCCAGCTCCACCTGGCAACAGAACATTTCTACTTTCAATCTTACCTTTCCAATTTTTTGTGGTCAATAGCCATGGAATATTAACCCAAACATTATTTTCAATATACACTGAGTGGTCACAAGTAAATAGACACCTAATTTTTCGTCATTTAACTGATTTGTGCTAACTAATTTGTGTTCACAGAGCACTATATAAATGAAAATGGTCTGCACACGAATTATA